GGGCTCGGGGGCGGGCCCGGGAGCAGGCGCGGGCGCAGGCGGTACCTTCGTACACCCAGTCGGGCACGCCGTGGTAGACGGTGCTGAAGGAGCCGTCGGAGGTGAGGCGCACCGTCTCGGCGTCGGCGGCGGCCGAGGCGCGGTAGAAGATGTCGTTGTGGTAGACGAAGGCGATGGCGTTGCCCGTGGGCGCCCAGATGGCCAGCTGCAGCACGCGGGGGTCGTCGCCAGGCGCGTGCGTCTCCACCGCCGCCTGCAGCGTTCGTCGCTCTCTGCCGAGGGATTCAGAAAACAGACATCAATTCGCATTCCTTAAACACGCAGCCGCTAAGGCTGAAGGGCTGCGACTGCCTTGGCTTGAAGGGACGCGTTCGAATCCCACTCCGGGCATGGATGTTTGTGGGTAGGTTCACGTTGTCCCTGACATATTCCTCCTAGCGTTACCCCAAAGTTAAACATAACATTGGTCGCTTATGTCCATAGCAGTTAAAACAAGAGACCTAAAATTAAAAAAATCAATTCTCGTAAATGTTTGGCTGTCGGGGAGACGCCGCAAGCTAGGCACAATTGCCAATGTTTCTGACGTCATACTGCTATCTTCCTCAGGTCGAAATGGCCGGGGGTAGGTTGTGGACGGGTTTATAAAGAACGAGATTCCCTCCACTCGGCTGCCGGATGGTCGAAAGATTGGTAAAAACAGGAGCCTACGCTTTCATCCATTCTCGTTCAGAAACCACAGCCTGGCCAAATCGAGCTCCTCAAGTCCGATCACGAACAAGCAGTTCTGGAGACCACGGAGGAGAAAGGGAATAACGATGTGGTAGTCAGCCCCTTCTTGAGGTCTCACGATGGCGCCGGCAGTGTAAGCCACAGAAAGAATAGATTGAGCTCGCCAGCTGACCCGCAAAAAGCCACAGTGGGTCTCTGTGGTTTGGCTTTATTTTTATTCCGAGCTATTGCCTTCCATATTAAACTAGAATTAAAACATCCATATAGCGTCTGTTTGACGATTACTTAAAATGAGTTGGCAGCAGCCAACAACTTTGAATCACGATTTACCCTCCATCCCTCCTAGATACTCCCTTTCGCGTTTGTTCAAAGAACACGAAGAGGCATTGCCCTCGCGTGCGGTGGGCCGGCTCAGAGAAAGAAAGTCTTGAACAATCCGTCCTGACCTCTGCAGCACGATTCGAAAATATCTTCTGTCTGATCACATTGTCACAAGAGTCACGATTTAATTTGTGTGTGATAACCTGATCTCCCGAAATCGTAATCTCGCGAGGGAAGAAAAATGACGTCCTCCCTTAGAGACAGAACTTTCGATACACACGCTGCAAGGGAGAAGCTGAATTGTACCAAACCAATACCCTTGGAAAACTTAAAGGGAAACGCATGGCGGTGGCCGGGCGACCCTCACAGTTTCATAATTTCATCTTTATTATCGCGCGCTTAGTGTCTTTAGTGGCACACGTATATCGTGCATCACGCGGCACCACAACAAAATTATAGCACGTTATTAGACATTATATTCTGTGGTAAGGGGAAGTTTCGTAACACCTCGACTCTTCCTAATGCCAGTATAACCTTTACTTAACAATTTCGACACGACTCAGTTTCTAAATTTCTTTTCTGAGAAATGGCATCGTCATGTATAACAGAAACCTATTATATCGCAGATCGCAAGGTAATTTTGAATCACTCTGTTTATGAATGGTAGGATACAAGTTTCTTGACTGCAGGCCGTGAAAAATGATTCATAGTGCCATATTCGATTGCTGAGTGTTGACGAGGGACGAACCGTACAACTTCATATCCCGCCCTTTCTGTGCACATGAATTTACGAAGTGGTAGCCATTGTCTTCCCTTGAATGGGCGCTAGTGATGACGAAATGAGGAGTGAATGATGAACATTAATGATGACGGATGGAATCATGTTCAAGAGGAATACGAGGTGTTACGAGAAGCCAACTGCGCCTCAATCATGTTGTGAAAACACGTGCACTTTACGCAGAACTTCAACCTGTTGGCATTAAGCTCCACGTGGTTAGACACTGCTCGAAGTAACCTGCGGCTCCGAGACAGGCGGCGTCATGAGAACACATTTAAATATAAAACCTATTTGTTTAAGCCAACATCTCAAAATATTATTACATTTTACTTAAGGCAGTATTATGTAAATTCTTCTCTTACTCATTCCAATTCCCATCACTTTCTGTAGTCACTTAACTTGTATATTTCACTGCAGTTTTTGTGCACCACAACACAATGTAGCCATAATATTTTAATTTTTTTCTCTTATCTTCCTCATTACTGTTTGGTAATTGAAGTAGCTAAGACCATCAATGTATTGATAGAGGAGATATTTCTAGCAGTCTCCGTTATTACGACTGTTGTTAGTCCCAGAAGGAATTTATGGGAAATGTAAGGTTACACGTGCGAAGTGAATTAAAAAAAACATAAATATCCACCCCAAAGAGGAACTCATACCTCCAATCCTTTGAACTGAGATTTATTGTTATTTTGAAGAACAAAATTCATCATATTTAAAAAGAATGAGATAAAAACTAAGAGTGCAGCAGGAAATGTAAGACTTCATCTTTACTCTTAAATTTGAAAATAATAGAAAAAAGATTTCGATTGCTATTTCAGAACAATAGAACGACCTTCTATGTAGTAGAAGAGCTAGTAAGGAGTTTTAGGAGTACTTTTAATAGGAAGTGAAATTAGAGTAGGAAGATGAACAGTCTCCCATTAACATTGTTATTCAAATGGTTTTCGTAATGCATATTGAAGATGGACGATTTTTGAGTTCGCATCACGGTACTAATAATACTCAATTGAGAGGAATTTGGAATATTGGAGCTGTTTTTTCGCTCACGTTATTACAAAAATATTGAATATTAATTTAATTTAAAATTTCAGTTCTAGTAGGTTACTTCGTTGTATGTTGAATAGGAATAAAAAATACATGCAATATTTCAAAACCGACGACATCATCACCTAATACTAGGCGAATTTATGTATAAATATTATCTGTGAACTTACCCTTTTTCCAGATCAATGATGTCATACTGAGACAAATACGTATGTCGGAAGAGCTGCAACAACAATGAAAAATAATGTCACCAAGGCATCGTATATGGAGTCCAGGATAATCAAAGAATAGCTGCATTTAAAAATATAGATATGATATAACTAAACACATTAGGCGACAAACGTGTATTTACAATTCTTAGAGTGCACTAAGATAATATAAAATCAAGAAAGAAAAAATAAAAATCAGATAATTTCGCAGACTAGATACAGTTGAAAATCCTAGAAACAGTTAACGGTTCTACAAAACAAATTGCCAATATAGCTTCCCATTAAGCAGTGCTTACGTGCAGCTTTCCTCTTCTAAGAGCGCTTATAAGAAGTTCTGAAAAGGCAGGAGGGAAACACATTCTGGAACATTATTTTTCTCCCAAATTAAATGAATATGAGCAAAAAATGAGAGATCATTTTTGTGCTCCTCTGTTGGGAAACGGTCATTTGCATCAATGCAGAGGTGTTCTTAGTTAATTTTCATTTTCTGGTGTAAGGCATAATTTGGAACTATAGGACTCATTGAATAGTTGTTGTACATAGAAACACATATTATATATTTTCAAACAAAAACTTATGTAACAATGTGTATCTTCAAATACATTTCACTTAATTACCACGAAAACCCTAAATATTTTGTGTTGTCTTAAATCTGCACGGATGTGAGTATTAAGAAGAAAAGCACGAGTTCATTACCTTCGCCACATCCTGTGGCAACACAAACATACGAGCTTAGTGTGTTAGTGCAATGTTCGTGTTTGCAGGTTGAAGTATAAACGGTTGTCGCTTCATATAAACCAACTGCTTCAGTTGAGTTGGCGAGTGACTGAAAACTAATGTCCGCTTGGAACGCAAAGGCGAAGTCCTAACAGCTGGAGAGGTTTTGTTTACACGCTCCCATAAAGGTTAATGAATCACTTTGTGGGGAATGTCTTTATTCCCACCAGCTCACGCGATCGCGCATTCCTCGCTTTTGCATTCCAAATACATTTCCAACTTCACATCTAACACAATTTCAACCGCCTATTTTCTTATGGGGAACAAGTTCCCTACAGCCTCTTCAGAACTTTAGTATAAAATTCATACAAGCCAGCTTAGGATAAAACATCATTGTAAAATTAAGTTCACAGACCAACTGACGTATGTGATTAATTAATAAATGAAATATTAATTTATAGTACATCAAATGGAATGTCTCGCTTTGATACAGAAATATCCGATTACTCTACATTACAAAGCGAGTTATTTATTAATTGGCCAATAATTCAGTTTTCTTTTCCAAAAGTACCTATCAAAATATTATTTGAAAAAAAAAATGTTCATGGAATATTGAACTTCACAAATGAATAAATATTTATGTCCTGTTTATTCATTACATAATTCCTTAAATTTCAGTTCTTCGATGAGTTTTTGACGCCAATATCATAATCAGTAATCCATCTTTCAGAATTGAAAGTTGGGGACTCATCACACATTAATCCATCAGTCCATCACCAGTGTCCTATGTCATTTACATCTTTAGCATTTGATTGTTTTCTTTTCAATTTGATCCAGCTATTAACCTATTTATCTGTCCCGTGATATTTGGCTTCGGTTTTGCCCAAAACAATCATCTACTCAAATATTTTATTCCGGTATTTCATGAATTTATTCTGACACTGATTAAATAAATTAACGTAATGAAGATTTTCGAAATTGTACGGCTTAAAATAACATAGATAAATTTTACAATTCAAACAGAACACAGAGTTGAATATCGATTTGTAAAGATTCTCACCTTTGAGTAGTTGTACACAGCCAGTAGGTACTTATGGTCTGCAGAGAGCTCCAGTTTTATGGTCGACGATGGGATCTGTAGAAAAGAAAGGACGTTAAAGGTGGACATTTCTTATTACCTCATCTTCCCATGTTACCCTACCTTTCTTAGAATACCTGTCTTTGTGGTTTTGCTGGCTTGAGAGAAGATAATGAGTTCTAGACTAACTTTCTAGATAGCTATCTTTTCCACGCATTTTAAATCGATTTCTGAAATTGAACTAAAGAAATATAATGGACATTATATTAGCGCCATTTGAAATATCGCTATTCGTTCATACACCCCAACTTATTTCTAAGCACGATTACATAACGTTCTCTTTTTACGAAGAATTCGTAAGGCAAAAAAGTAATAATAACCCGAAACTCGACTATTTCCTTTGATTTGTATGCTACGCGTGGTTTTGCAGTTCACCTGCTTGCCACAGACTACCACACTGAAGATCCCATTTTTCTCAGCAATAATCGCTTTTAAGGCGTCCCAACCTTTGTTACTTAGGCTCAACCCAGTTACCCACAAAAATGAGATGGGCAGAAGTAAAAATGCAGTGCTGCAGGAAGCGGGAGTGGAGGAAGGAGAGAGAGCGGAAACTGTAGTAGGAGAGGATGTTGGACCGGAAGTGCCACCGGGAATCGGAGAGAACGCGAGCGGAAGAGGGAGATGGAGCGGGCACGGCAACAAGGAACAAGAACAAGAGCGGGAACGAGAGCAAGCATGTGAGCGAGTTCGGAAGTGGGAGCGGAACCGAAGGCGTGAGGGAGAACTAGGAGAAGCGGGAGCGAAAGCGAGATTAAGAGGGAGAGCGAGGAGTGGAGGAGCGCGAGCGAGAACCGAAGCGAGATCGGGAGGGAGAACGAAAGGGACAACAGAGCAATAATGAAAGCTGGGTACGATTGGGAGTAAGATTGGGAACGGGAGTAAGTGTAGAAGGGAGAGCGGGTGCGGACACGTGAGTGGAGGCGAGAACGAGAGGGAGAGCGCGAGTGGAAACAAAAGCAAGAGAGGGAGCGGAAGCGAGAGAGAGAGAAAGAATTAGAGGCAGAGCAGGAACTGAAGCAAGAGCGGGAGCGACGAGAGGAGGAACGCGAGCGGGAGCGTGGAATCGGGAGCCCGCTCGAGAGCGGTAGCTAGAGCGAGGTGCGGAGCGGGATCGAGAACGACGGGAGGAGCGAGAGCGAGGGAGCGGGAGCGGGAACGCAATCGCCAGCGCCACCTACCAGGCCGTGGTTCTTGAGGAGGGCGCGCGAGGTGCGCGTGGTGGCATCAAACAACATGGGGCGGCCGGCGTCGTCCCGGAACAGCAGCCGCGTGTCTGCGCAACAAAGCAGCGCCTTCGCTCAAGCCCCCGCGCTCGCTCGCCGCCTCCGCCGCCGGAGCGGCGTGCACAAACACACACACACACACTCACTCACAGCAGTTTCTCCTCTCCCGCGTTTGACACTGGGCCATTCACCGCTCTGCTCAGCGATGGGAAGTGCTCGACCCCGAAACGGGGATTTCATCCTTAACATGTAGGGCGCTACTAACCAGGAATGGGCGGTGTTCAAAAGGATCTCGAAGACTTGACCAGAGTTCACTCGGGTCACTACAGTCACACTTCAATTCTTAGATGAAAATTGTTTATAGTGTAAACTCTCCGTAATGAACAACGAACAACTCCTTTTATAATGTACAGTTTACTCGACATTAGTTTAGGTAACAGCCCATTTATTGCTACTCTCTCCGTAAAACAAATTCTAATGCACACATATACTCTGATCTTGAAGTTTTTTATTAAAAAAAAACTAAGCGTATTTGATTAATTCATTTTTTGGAAGGATCGCTTAATTTTAATATATAAATGTAACAATGGTTATTATGTACAGTATTATCGGTACATTTTCATGCCCCATGCGATGAAAATGATTCCTTTTAAATACAATAAATGATGCACAAGTTGTATTGACATCAATTGAAAATACATTATTTAAAAGAAATAAACATTCCACGTACTTGCGTCTCTAACTTTGAAGTGAAAGTAAATTGAACCAGGTTTTTAGGGAGTTTATTAGATTATGAAGTATCTGTTCTTTTCACTTGTTAACTAAAACTTTCCAGATGAAATAGACAAAAATAAAGATCATCGCATGAAACATCGCTTGTCTTTAATTGTGTTGATTTTCACTTATAACAATTTGGCCCGAAACAAGAGAGGTGCGCAGAAAATTAGAAAGTTTATTATTATTAATTATTATTATTATTATTATTATTATTATTATTATTATCAAGAATTAAATACTAATTTTGAAAGTGATATTAAAATCAATTTCTTCTCATTATTTTTACATAATATGTACATATTTCTCTGTTAAACAGTTGGCAAAATAATATATTCAAGATTTTAAATTGATTCAACAATTATAATTCCTTCCTAATATTTTGCAATAACACTAGTTAAGGCTTCGTAAATTATTCATTACCACTGCCGAAAATCAATAAGCTTGTTAATAGATTAGTGATTTGTGAAGGTAAAACATTTCAATTAGTGTCAGAGGAAAAATATAAACTGTTAATGTATCAATTAGGAATAATTTATTTACATATTAGAACCACAGAAGCAGTAAAATACGTTAAGAAGCAGAAAAAACTTGATGTTAAAGCATCAAGTATACTTTCGAAGTTTAGAAGCAATTAAAGAACTATATCATGTGATCAGTTATTACGGGAAAGAACGATACGCTCCATTACAAATTAGAAGAAGAGTGTCCGGAAATTAGATGAAATAAATGATTTCTTATAAAATCATTAATGAACAAAATAACTTACAGCCGAATAAAAAAAAAATAAACATTAACTCACCACTAAATGCATTACAACTTGAAGGTATATGTATATCGAACGTAATGATAGCGCAAATCCCTATTACAATAAATAAGAATGCAAATAATTAATTTATCTGTTTACAAGTGAAATTAGGTAACTAATAACGAGGAAAACGAACACGTGAACAAAAAGCTACTGGAAATTCAGTTATATACGACACAACTATCAAGTATTTTCACTATGAAATAGGCATACAAATTGTACGAAATTACTGACGTTTCATTCATATTTGAATGCAAACAGATTCAAGAACACTAAATCTAGTAAAACTAAAGACAAAATTGAGGAAGCACACAGCTTACGGTTCGGCGTGCACATACTTTTCGCTGTTCAGATTCAAGATAGAAAGGAAAATCAATGGTAACATGAAACAAAAGTTCACAAATGCAAATACAAATGTGCTATAGGCCTAGTAACAATTACCATGCCTCTTCTCCGAAACCCATAAACAGATATTATCTTCTGACTTCACTCGTCTGCCATCTTCCAATTATAAGCACTGTGAAACGCCGTACTTCTGCTTTTCACTCAGAAAATAAATTCTTCATAAGTTTCTTTGCTTAGGCGAAAGAAAAACGATGCTGCTACATGGAAACGAAGTCTCTCCATAAAATTAGTTGTTGTGGTAAGATATCTTTGGCATTTTTTAAAATAAATTAAAGATGTTGTCATTGCCAACAATGTTTTTAATTCAAAAGCAGCTTTCGATGGCTTAGCCATCATCATCAGTTGTCTGCTAGATGGAAGCCACAAAACGACTACGTTTCGTTAGGTAGTCGTTTTTGTGGCTTCCATCTAGCAGACAACTGATGATGAGGCTAACGCATCGAAAGCTGCTTTTGAATTAAAAAAACATGTGTTGGCAATGACAACATCTTTAATTAATGTCTCTCATAAATCCACCCATAACCATTGCATCAGGATGACCATCACCAGAAGTGTTAAGTCATAAAAATATCCACCACATTGTGAATTATCCACACACCACCACCCCGACATCACCAGCCACCAGAATCAGCTACGACATGCTGCATCCACCTCACCTGACACCCAGGTACGTTGACATCTTTCTGTTGCAGCGAAAGTGCTTTCAATCACATCTCTCAAGGTGACACCGCGCAGCGGCTTCCCGAGGCTGCAAACAAGTGCTGCAATCACCACACCCGGCCACACACACACACACACCCACACACACACACACCGCCACACACACACACACACACCGCCACACATGCACACACACACACACACACCAGGCCGTCACACAACCCCCGTCACTACCATACTACTCGTTGGAACGAATTCCACCAGACACGGCCGTCTCCTCCCTTGCCCTCCGCATGGTAAAAATGCATCCTTGCAACGGGTGCAGAAGGTTAATCTTTGGACGCGAGTATACATGTCAGAGAAGCGGATCTAAAAAGTACTTCAGGAATGGAGAGGAGAGTCTCAGTTATTTGAAATTCGTTCAAGAAAAAGGAATTTAGTTGGAATGTATTTTTTTTTTGTTAAAACGCCGTCCGGTTGGGCTTCTGTGGACGATTAGTATAGCATTTGAGGTATGGTATAGAGTGATTTTTGTAAGAAAAGGCCGTTTTGACATCTACTGCTGGCAACAGGTGAAGGTTCTGAGGTCGTAGTGTTCTTCAGCCCAATTTATTCTCCTTTCTTCATTCGTTCGTTAGTAGTTGGCTAACTTGTAAATGGCTTCAACACTTCGACGAAAATACAGTTCGCCACAAGAAATAATTGAAATTAGGAAGTGCAGTGACACCATTATGTTCTGTAATTTTTTTATAAACAGTACAATGAATTTACTTTTTGTATGATAAGTATTAAGTGTATTTGAAAATAGAGTCTTAAATGCCAGATGCATACTGGCGCACGTGTTTCCTGCTCCTGTTCAGTAAGATGGCGAGCTCGTTCCGTAGATCCGTACTCTGGGTTTTATCAATTTATTTTTTATATAATTGCACGGTTGTGAACCATGATGTCTTAACGAGTGCCAAGTACAAATATCAACACTTAACGAAGAGGAGCGGCTGAACAGCTGCCGCGGCGGAGGGATACTTCTCTAAATTACATGTGATGTTGACTTGTTTAGCGAACTGTAATTGTGGCTCATTTTTATGCGGATTCTTCTATAGTGTGGACTTCATTGGTCGATGTTATTTGAAATTAATGCTATGGCTCCCATACCCTCCCTGGATCCGTTACTGGCATGTAACACGAAAAGGTACCAGATGGTGATAGGGTACCACGTAGTTCGGATGCGTCATTCTCTAGGGGTTCTGAATTGTAATTTGGATGAAGGAGTTCTTCGGAGTGAAAGCAGATGGTGAAAACTCACTCTATCCCTTCAGTAAACCAGAAGTAGCACTCGAATCACCTCCACCAACTGAGATGGTAACTACTCTCTCCGTGTGAAAATTGAACTGGAAAAGAACTGGGTTTTGTTCATTAAGCATTTTATTTACAAATACATTCACAATAAAATATTTTTATTGAATACCTTTGCACTAACCACCACCGACAACCTCTAAAATAAACTATCAAAGAACCCGCATTCAGTACTGCCACTACAACTGCTTACAACACCCAACTACGAATTGTTTAAATAATGAATAGTAAATAGTGGGCATCCTCATTATAACTTAGAATTCTTCTGTCTTAGGGATGCAAGTAATTATTTATGGAAGTATTTTTTAAGTAACTAACGTTAGGTGTTCAAGGAACATTTAAGAGAGATGAGGGAAAGGGAACAGACTTACGAAACACAGGATATCCGACGCGGCTAGCAATGACATGACGTATAACTAAGAAATGGAAAAGCAACCTACACTGGTTGTATTTCCGGCCGTATCGCTTAATGCTGTTACCAAATACTCTGATCAGAGGATGTTGCCTACAGAAACACAGTTTTGTTTCCTGTCTGACGGGATATCCATACACCAGTGATATGATGAAGTGACTTTTCAACTGGTTCCGCGATTCACTTGTGAGCGAAACGTGTTTTTCGCTCAACTCCAGACATCGCAAAAACTAACTTGTAAATAAATTTCTAAACAGAATATATCGTTAAGAAAACTGGTGTCTGAAGAAAGTACTCTGTAACACGTCTGTTACATTTTTAACGGAAAGTTTCAATCGATACAATTCATAAAATAATTTAAGATATTTTGTCCTCTGAATTATTATTTATTACGTGACGGAAAAGAAATTGAATGATAAAAACTTAAGAACAACAACAACCCAAACAACACACACAAACAAATATGAGTTGTATTGCTTAAAAACATTTTCAGTTTTAAAAAAGCAGCAAGAATAACGTCGAAACGTATTACACACGATAGCAAAATAATTTTCAGGAATAAACTAGTACTTAATTTAGTCTGCATTTCAATACGTAATGTAAGCGTAATGACGAAGAGATACCAGAGAGTAAATTGT